AAGCCTTCCCGTGTTCAAGAAAAAGCGATTCTATTATATCAGGGTGTTTATGATTTATCAGGCTGGGTGCATTGTCCAAACAGGGCCCAGGGAGAGGGAGAGGCAAGACGGGGAGAGAATAGAGAAAACTGGAGGATGAAACAGGAGGAAAGGGTTAGAGGAGAGAGCAGTGGGAGGGGAGGGATGGATGGTAAGAGAATAGAGAAAAAGGGAGAAAGGGAAAGAAACAGTGGAGGAGAAAAAAGGTAGAAGAGGGAGGAAAAGAGGTGAAAAGGAGAGCGCACCATTATACCTGATCATCTAAGGGACCCAACACACACCTCAGGTAAATATCAAACTAGACCAATCAACAGAAAAATACCCCCCAGTGCCTCAAGTTTGGGATAGTACAGGTCATAAGGTTAAAAAGTCGTCGAGGTCACAGAGGTCATAGGGTCACAGAAGTCATAGGGTCATAGAGGTCACAGGGTCGTAGAGGTCACAGAGTTCATAGAGGTCACAGAGGTAAAGAAAATTCCTTCTTCAACTTTCTAAATATATTAAAGTTTGTAACACATAGTTGACTTTTGCTCACTAAAGAATCAGAGGAGTTTTACATCAGTTGCCACGTTAATTAGTGTGTGTGTGTGTGTGTGTGTGTGTGTGTGTGTGTGTGTGAAGGGAGGTTAAGCGTGAGAGAGAGAGAGAGAGAGAGAGAGAGAGAGAGGTCATCAGTATTCATGGGTTGGTCTTCACCCACCCAAGGGTCAAGAGACTCTCCGGTTTTAGTTTACTCTTAAAGTTTTAATGGTTCTTAGTGTAAGGACGTGAGGTCAACACCTTCCCTCCCTGACAATGCCTGACCTGACCAGACCAGACCTGAACTGACCATAACTTAATTCTGTCTAACCTGACCTAACCTAACATGACTTTAACTTAATTCTGTCTAACCTGACCTAACCTAACATGACCTTAACTTAAGTCGGTCTTTAACCTAACCTTAATTGAATTCAACTTAACCAACCTAACTTTCCCTAACCTAACCTAACCTAACCTAACCATGACGTCGTATGTACCCCAGACGTGAGGTTGGTGCTGCCCTCTGTTGCATATGCATGGGTCTCTGATACTATACCATGCTGTAAATGTTTCGTCCGCGCATATCCCTGTAACTATGCAATGGTAAGGGGTGAGAGGGGGGGTGGGTGGGGAGGTAAGGATAAAGGTGGTGGGAAGTGCAATGATGAGGGGTGTGGGAGGGTAGTGAGGGAGGTGTGGGAGGGTGGTGTGGGAGGTGAGGATAAGGGTGGGAGTTGGTGAAGATAATGGTCGTGTTGTGTTTGGTTTTTGTTTTTTTTTACTTCATTTTTATTATTGTTTTTATAGTTTTAATGGTCAAATATATTTTTCTTTCTGTTATTTTCTTTTTATTCGTGAGTTTTGGAAAGGTTTATCTCACAAAGGCCAAATTATATCTGTGTATACTTTCAAAGGTATATATATTTTTTTTCAGGGGGCGAAGGGGAAAGTTACTGTTTAGGTTAGATAAATAATTGAATCAGATACTTAAGGTTCAAAGACTTCATTATTAATTTTATCTTTTCTTGAAACTTTGGTATATTATTACTCACAAAGTTTGGGTTCAAAACTTTACATTCATTTCAGACTCTTGTTATAACTTCTTAACCCCACAGAAATGGTGAGCAAGAACTACACATATCTCTATAATTTCCTCCTAAAAACTTCATCATAACACGGAAATAATCTACAGTTACTTATTTCCAAAGGCATTATAGAAAAAAAAACCCGAATCCCATATTACAACAGAGTCACTACCAACAAAAATACATTCCCTGTTAGAATTTTGCCTCAAACTCGATATTGGAACGATAGATAATTCCTTTTACATGTGATAGGAACGGCGATGTAGTGTGTATAGAGTAAAGGGTGGAGCAGGGAGAAGTGTAGATGGGGTTTTATTTACATACCAGACCATCGGTAGGGACTGATGTTGACCCATAACTGTGATAGATGATGTTTCTCAGAACATTTTCACTTCATGTGCACTTTGGGAATTAAGCTCTGATGTTCACGGTTAGTTTTAGATTTAGTCTCTCTCTCTCTCTCTCTCTCTCTCTCCTCCATGTCGTAATCCCATCCAAACTCAGTAGCAAAGTTTAACACGCTACACAGTTGGGTCTCTCTATCTTGAAAGAAACTATGTCCCTTCTACTGCCTCGTTGGTATTGTAACACAGTCAATCGACTTTGATGTCTACTTAAAAAAACTAAAAAAAAACAATAACAATACACATTAAGGAAGTCGCCCGTCGGTAAACACACACACACACACACACACACACACACACACACACACACACACACACACACACACACACACACACACACACACACACACACTGTTACGACCGTGTCGTATTTTTTATATATTTTTTTTATATATAACATGTTCCATATTATTCCTGTAATGATGTGTTAAATTTACTATTATATATTCTAGTCACCTTACCCCGTGCTGTTACGGTTTTAACTGTCATTATTTGTTCAAGCCCATCATATTTCTTTATTTTGTATTGTAACCAGCATTCTTTGTTCTCTAACGATCATCTGCATCGTTAAACGACCCACCGGCGGGTCGCGTGGCGGAGCCGACCTTATATATAGGACCCACCAACTGACTTGAGTCAGTTCAGTCCTCTTGTCCATACAGTTCACATCCTTTGAGTGACACTCGTCACCTGTTACTTATACTTAATTTATTTGTGTTGTTCCTGTCGCCACCAATGTGGTATATCTATGTGAGTACCTATTTATGTCTCTATTTATGTCCATCAGTATTTGTAGTTGTTAACGTAATCCAATGCTTTATTTTATTCTTTTGATGTTTCGATGTTTAGTATCATTTGTGTCTTAAAGTTTCGATGGTGAATCAATTTGTTGTGACAGCCTACGAGGCTCTTTTATTGTGTTAATATTTAATTAATTAAATTCTAAGGTTTACTTTATTTATTTTTATTCTCTTTTAATTTACTTCACTTTTTTGTTTGGTTACGCCTAGAACCTGGATATTTAAGTAAATTAAGAGACGGAATAACAACAAACACACACACACACACACACACACACACACACACACACACACGAGGTCTTACATTATTCTCAGACGTTGACCTTGTGTTAATGAAGAAGAAATAGATAGATATGATGATGAATGAATATAATTGCACATGTACTTAGCAACGTAAATGATAGGGTGAAGATAGTGAAGTATGATGGAGTATGACTATATGTATGATAAGGGACCTGCAGTACCTTATATAATGCCACCTTCACGTTATCGATAAATATGATGCATTGGCGTGTGTGAAGCAGTCTCTCTCTCTCTCTCTCTCTCTCTCTCTCTCTCTCTCTCTCTCTCTTTCTCTTCCCTCTCGCTCTCTCTCTCTCTCTCTTTCTCCTCCTCCTCTTTGCCTCGTTCTACGTAATTTTCCTCCTTTATTTCCTTCTTTATTTCCTTCATCTCTCCTCCTCCTTCTTCCCTTCTTCCTATTCCCTCCTCATTACTCCCCCATTCTTTGTTACCTCCTACTTTCTCTCCCTCCCTCATTTCCTTCACTCGTTCTTTTATTATCTAATTTCCTTCCTTCTCCCTGCCGCTTTGTCTTTCTCCTTCACCCCTTCTTCCATCCCTTCCTCACTCCTTCTTCCTCCTTCCCTTATTCCTTCCTTGCTTCCTTTCCTCCAAATTTTCCTCCTCCTAATAATATAATTCCCTCCTCCTCCCCCCCTCCATCATCAATTCCCTCACCTTCCTTCCCTACCTCATCTCTCCCTTTCTCCTCCTCACCCCCCTTCACTCCCTCCTAGGTCTGGGCTAAAGTAAGTGGATTTATCCTCCCTTCACCCCCTCACCTCCCTACCCCTCCCCTCCCCTCCTCCCCTCACCTGTACGAATGACGAATACAAAACACGAAACAATTTAGAAATCATTGATATAAACATTGATCATACTAAGGACTTTATAACAACAAAGTGATCAAGATTTTTTATTTTTGCCTTTGTTTTCTGATTCTAATATGCCGTCCTCTAACTGATATGTTTGACGTTCTTGAGTTATTAACTGTGTGTGTGTGTGTGTGTGTGTCTGTCTGTCTGTGTATGTGTGTGTGTGTGTGTGTGTGTGACTGTGTGTGTGTGTGTGTGTGTGTGTGTGTGTGTGTGTGTGTTATAACCTAAGTAAGTCACACATAATATATATATTCATAACAAATTCCTTGGTTGAGGTGATGATTTTCCCCCTGTTGTTGTATTTCACACACGCCATGATAAGCAGAAGGAAAAGACGAGCGTACGTTCGTCTGGGCTGGTGATAAGCTGCTTGACTTGGGCTGGGTCGAGACGGGGCGTTGTTGACTTTGTTCGGGTTGGAAATTTTTCTTTATGGTACAGTAATTCCTTGTTTATTCTCTCTCTCTCTCTCTCTCTCCCCCACATATGTAAATAAACTACCTCAATTTACCAGTAACACCCCGACGGCAGTTCAAAATGGCTCCAAAACTCCAATGAGACGACTTTTTTTTTTAGATTATCTTACGGGAAAATATTACTGGTAAGATCCCATGATAAGAGAGGGTCTTTGTTATTGTTGTTATTATTATTGTAGTTTTGTTGTTGTTGCTCAGTAATCCTATTTGGATGTCTTGTTTCTGTTCTTGCTAAGTGTAACCTATTTTTGCCATGAGGAAATTGGCACAGGTTGTTCGTCTGGCCAGTGAATCAGTCATTCATGCCTTCGTGTTTTCAATTTCCAAAGTTTTCCGTGAACTTGAAATGGTTTTGAGGAGAAGTTTGCAGCAAGTGTGAGTGTTCAACTTTCTTCATCTTTCTTCTTCTCTCTCTCTCTCTCTCTCTCTCTCGTCTATGAACCAACGTAAACAAAAGGAAAACCAATATTTTTTTTATCCTAAAGTCATTAACAGATGTGTCCTCTCCATCTTACAGGTGTGAGTGGTTGGCGCCATGATGGAGCAGTGACCCATCGGAAGCACAGTAACAGGGCTACCAACATTGGGCGACTCTTACCGGAGCTGCAGAACAATACGGTGGTGGTGGCACAGGTTGGCGGCACTGCGACCATTAAGTGCTACACAGTGTTCCTTGGTGACGAGATGGTGAGTGGTTTGGTGTAGTTATGACGTCATGATGTTGTTCTGACGTCATGGTGTTGTGACGTCATGTTGTTTTGACGTCATATTATTATTATGACGTTGTGTTTTGTTATTATTATTGTTATGACGTCTTGTTATTGTTTTTATCACTATGTTGTTATTCTTTCTTGTTGTTATCACGTAATGAGTGTTAATTATGTACTGTATGTCTTTCTGTAATTACTGTAACATGTACTAGTGTCTGTAATACCTTTGGCTGATATTACACTACATGAAATATACAAGAGTGTAGTGGACATAGTTCTACAGTGGTGGTAGTTGTAGTGGTGGTGGTGGTGGTGGTGGTGTGGTGGTGGTAGTAGTGGCTGGTACTAGTGGTGGTAATATAGTACAGTGCTAGTGGTGGTGGTAGTAGTGGTAACAGTACTCGTGGTAGTGTGGTGGTGGTAGTGGTAGTGGTGTTATAGTGGTAGCAGTGGTGGTGGTAGTGGTGGTAGTATTAACAGATGTGATGTAGTGGTGGTAGTAGTGGTAACAGTGCTAATTGGTGGTGGTGGTAGTGGTGGTAGTGGTGTGGTGGTAGTGGTGGTAACAGTACTAGTGGTGGTGGTGGTAGTGGTGAACAATGCTAGTGGTGGTGAGTGGTTGGTGGTGGTGGTAGTAATGGTTGGTGGTGGTGGTAAGTGGTAACAGTGCTAATGGTAATTAATTTGATGGTAGTGAGTGGTGGTAGTGGTGGTGGTGGTGGTGGTGGTAAGTGGTAGCAAGTGCTAGTGGTAGTAGTGGTGGCAGTAGTGGTAACAGTGCTAGTGGTAGTGGTTGGTGGTGGTGGTAATGGTGTGATGGTGGTGGTAATGGTGGTAGTAGTGGTAACAGTGCTAGTGGTGTTAGTAATAATTGGTAGTAGTGGTAACAGTACTAGTGGTAGTTAATTAATTAGTGATAGCAATTAATTGGTGGTAGTGGTGGTAGTAGTGGTAACAGTACTAATAGTGGATAGTGGTGGTGGTAAGTGGTAGCATTACTAGTGGTAGTAGTGGTGGTAGTAGTGATGGCAGTGGTGGTGGTAGTGGTGGTAGTAGTGGTAACAGTACTAATTAGTGGTGGTGGTGGTAGTAGTAGTGGTGGTAGTAGTGGTAACAGTACTAGTGGTAGTGGTGGTGGTGGTAGTAGTGGTAACAGTACTAGTGGTAGTGGTGGTAATAATTAGTGACAGTACTAGTGGTAGTGGTAGTGGTGGTGTGTTGGTGGTGGTAGTGAATGGTAGTAGTGGTAGCAGTGGTGGTGGTAGTAGTGGTAACAGTTATGGTATGATTGGTAGTGTGGTAACAGTACTAGTGGCAGTGTAGTGGTAGTAGTGGTGGTGGTAGTGGTGGGTGGTAATTGACAATTACTGGTGGTAATATTAGTGGTGGTGGTGGTGGTGGTGGTAGTAATTGGTAACAGTACTGGTGGTAGTGGTGGTGTGTAATAATTGGTGGTGGTAATTAATTGTTGGTAGTGGTGGTAGTATGGTAACAGTACTATTATTGGTGTATTAGTGGTGGTAGCGGTGGTGTGTGGTGATAGTGGTGACAATTGCGGGTGGTGGTATAGTGGTGGTGGTGAGTGGTGGCGATTTGTTAATTGGTGGTGAGGGTGGTGGTGGTGGTGAGTGGTGGTGGTATTGATGGTGGTAATGATTGATTGATTGGTGGTAATTGGTGACGGTGTATGGTGGTGGTGTAGTGGTGGTGGTGGTAGTAGTGGTAACAGTGGTATTGTTGGTAGTGATTGGTGGTAGTGGTGGTAGTAGTGGTAACAGTGGTAGTGGTGGTGGTAGTAGTGGTGGTAGTAGTGGTGGTAGTAGTGGTAACAGTACTAGTGGTAGTGGTAGGAGGAGGGATAATGTATGCAAGAGCTACACAATGTTTATGTTCAATTTTCCGGTTCACGTTGTAGGTGGCCCGTGTAGTACTGTCACGCCCACACGCTATTGTGCTCTTGAGTGCTAAACTTTCCCACTGTTTGTTATGTGTGCATGTGTGTGTGTGTGTGTGTGTGTGTGTGTGTGTGAGTGGTCCTGAAGTCATCGTTCTCGTGTTTACCTCCGACAGGTGACATGGATGAAGCGAGACGAGGATCAATTACTGGCGGTGGGGACACAGGTGTATTCCTCAGACGCCAGGTACTCCGTTGCTCACCTGAGACACGACAAGGTACGCCATTATTCCTACTTCTACTCTCTCTCTCTCTCTCTCTCTCTCTCTCAGCTTCAATTCCTTCACATCTTGGCTGACTTGTTTGTGACTTGTGAGTGCATGACTTCAACAATCGATCTTCCATGACCTTCTGATTTCAGTACCCCATCCCCTTAGCCTCCTCTGACCTCCCATGACTCTTATTCTTATTCTTCGTGGCCTCCTGACTTCGAATGACCTCCCCACTACCTCAAGCTGATGTATATAATGCCACACTTTCACGATACCTAAGTCATACCTGACACCCTTATAGCATCCCCACCCTCACCCCCATCCTCCACCCTCACCCCCATCCTCACCCTCCTATCCTCACCCCTCACCCTCATCTCACCCTCACCCCCATCCTCACCCCTCACCCCCCACCTCACCCCCATCCTCACCCTCACCCCTATCCTCACCCTCACCCTCATCCTCACCCTCCACCCCTCCTCACCCTCACCCCCACCCCCCCCCCACCCCTCCACCCTCCTCCCACCCCCTATCCTCCACCCCTCACCCCCCATCCTCACCCCTCACCCCCCACCCCCCACCTCACCCTCACCCCCCACCCCCACCCCTACCCTCACCCTCACCCCTATCCTCACCCCTCATCCTCCACCCTCACCCCCACCCCCACCTCACCCTCCCACCCCCACCCTCACCCCTCCCCTCACCCCTACCCCTATCCTCACCCTCATCCTCCACCCCTCACTCAATCTTGGTCTAATACTTTCCAGGCCTAATGGGTGTAGATTCTGGTGGTTATGTTAAGAGTAGGTAAGAGCCTGTAAGAGCTAGAGCCTATTAAGAGCCTAATAGATCTACAGATAATACTTCAGCTCTGTGTTACTGATGACTCTGGTCCTCTGGCTATCAAAACAGTATCCCAGGGGGAATGGGACAACTGGGCCGCCATCTGCAACCCAGTTAGTTAGGTTGGTTAGGTTAGGTTAGGTAGGTTAGGTTGTTGTCAACAAAGTTCATATGGCGGTCGGCGCGAGTTCCCGGCCAGTTGGCTGCGCCAGCTGCGCCAGATGGCGGCGGCCAGTCCTGACCCATCCCAGGGAGCTTAAAGTATAAATGATTATATTATATTAGGATTAAGTTGAAGCTCAATAAGACTTTAACCTAACATAATACTTTGTTGAAAAGATGCACAGTAAAATGAATGTCAATTTTGGAATTCAAATTTGCATTAAAAATCATGAGTTTTTGTTGTTTTTCTGTTTTATTTGTTTTTTTCTAGTTTTTCGGGGGTTAGCTCATATGAAGATTAGATACCCTAGTTTATTTTACCTGTTAATTAAACACCTCAATGATATATGCAGCCTACCTGGATAACAAGACAGTGTTATGATAATGTTGTCCTTTCCTCTGGTCAGCTGTGGGAGTTCTCTGTGAGGGCCGTCCGGAAGGCTGACGCTGGCCTGTATGAGTGTCAGCTCACCACACACCCTCCCACTGCACTCTTCTTCACTCTCAAGGTTGTAGGTGAGTGAGAGAAGGAGGGAAGGGAAAGGGAGAAGGATGGCAGGGAGGGAAGGGAAGGAAGAATGGGAGGAAGAAGGGAAAAGGAGAAAGGTGGCAGGGAGGGAGGTGAGAAGTGTGGGAGAGGAAGGAGAGAGAGAGAGAGAGAGAGAGAGAGAGAGAGACCCCCACCCCCCAGTACCCGCCTCAACTTAGGAACGCGAGCAGACTAAACGACTCACATCATTCACCACTCAACCAGAAAAGAGCCACTCACACTACCTCGCCTTGACACCCCTTAAAGTATAGCACGAAACGTTTCCACCTTACTATGTGCACACGAATCAGAGGGTCGAGTCTAGATTAATAACAGGAGTGGAGAGGAAGAACTGAAGGTGGATAATATGGGAAAAGGAAAGGAAAGAGAAGAGATGAAGGAATGGAGGAACGTAAGTTGGGTAAAAGAATGAAAGAGGAGGGGGGGAGAGTAGGGAAGAGACGGAAAGAAAGACATGGTAACTGAGGGAGGGTACGAAGGTAGAGAGGAGACAAAGGAATGGAAAAACATAAGAACAGAGAGACTAAGAAAGAAAGGTGAATGAAAGGCATGGATAGAAGAAGATCAAGGGGAAAAGAGAGGGGAAGAGGAAGATAGAGAAAGTTGAGATGTAAAAGCACGAAAAGAAAAATAAGAATGAAAGGAAGAAGCAAAGTGTGAGGAAAAACCGAAGAAAAATAATAACAATGTATATTTTATTTATATATTAGTGGTCGCTTATACACCCAAAACCTTTCTTTGTTGTCTCAGGTCACAAGTTATGGTAGTTAACAAGCAGCAATCACAGTTAACAAAGCTATGATAGTTAAAGAACAAGATGAATATTATTGAATAGGAGTACAGAGTCGTTGCTTATAGATATTAATAAGCAGTAAGTCACAGCTAACAAGATTAATGCCGTTCACTAACCCTGGTTGTGTTTACAGAGGCACGGGCCGTCTTGGGAGGAGGAGCCGAGGTGCACGTACACAAGGGGCGTGTGGGCTCCGGTGTACGGTAGAGTACGCCACGGAACCCCCTGCTTACGTCTTCTGGTTCCACAATCACACTATGATTAACTATTCCCCACGACGGCCACTCAGAGTCCTTCATCACCACCTGGGCAGCTCCCTCGTCATCACCAACGTTACCTGGGAGGATGCTGGGACGTATACCTGTGAACCTCATCTAGCGGAACCTGCTAATCTTACTCTCCATGTTGTGGAAGTAGTAAGTGTGTTTTACAGGTGAAGTGGGTCCTCAGCTCTGATAGGTCCTTTAATGTTTGGGTTTTGTTAAGATTAGGGCCATAGTGTTAATGATTAGATTTGGTTGATTGTGGCCTTAGTGTTAAGTGGTTAAATTTGGTTGATTGGGGTGTATTTGATTGGCCATTCACCTGTCGATCACTGTATCTCGTCACCGAAATGATGGCGCTAGAGCTTCTCAACTTCACCAGGAAAAAAATATATTCTCTCCCTCAATCTTCTCATTCACCACCTCCTCACCTCACCCCCTCCTCACCCCCTCACCCCTCCTCACCTCACCTCCTCACCTCACCCCTCCTCACCCCTCACCCCCCTCCTCCCTCACCCCTCCTCACCCCTCACCCCTCCTCACCTCACCCTCCTCACCTCACCCCTCCTCCCTCCCTCTCACCTCACCCCTCCTCACCTCCCACCCCTCCTCCACCTCCTCCACTCCTCCTACTCTCACCTCACCCCTCCCTCACCTCACCTCTCCTCCACCTCCTCTCACCCCTCCTCACCTCCACCCCTCCTCCTCACCCCTCCTCCACCTCCACCCCTCCTCACCTCCTCTACCCCTCCTCCACCTCACCCTCCTCACCTCCACCCCACCTCACCTCACCCCTCCCCTCCTCACCCCTCCTCACCTCACCCCTCCTCCACCTCACCCCTCCTCACCTCACCCCCTCCTCACCTCACCCTCCCTCACCTCACCCTCTCACCTCACCCCTCCTCACCTCACCCCTCCTCACCTCACCTCCTCCTCACCCCCACCTCACCTCACCTCCTCACCCCTCACCCCTCCTCACCCCTCCTCACCTCCTCCCCTCCTCCACCTCACCCCCACCTCACCTCACCCACCTCACCTCACCCCACCTCCACCTCCCCCCTCCTCCCTCACCCCTCCTCACCCTCCTCACCTCACCCCTCCTCACCCTCACCCCCTCCTCACCTCACCCCTCACCTCACCTCCTCACCTCACCCCCTCCTCACCTCACCCCTCCTCACCTCACCCCTCCTCCACCTCACCCCTCCTCCTTCACCCCTCCCACCTCTCCCCTCCTCTCACCTCACCCCACCTCCCCTCACCCCCTCCCTCCTCCACCCCTCTTCCCTCCTCCTCACCTCACCCCTCCTCACCTCACCCCACCTCACCTCACCCCTCCTCACCTCACCCCTCCTCACCTCCCCACCTCCTTCACCCTCCTCACTTCACCCCCACCTCCACCCCACCCCTCCTCACCTCACCTCACCCCCACCTCCCTCCACCTCACCCCCCTCCTCTCATCCCCCACCTCTCACCCCTCACCCTCCCTCCCTCACCCCTCCTCACCTCACCCCTCCTCCTCCCCCTCCTCCACTTCACCTCACCCCCACCCTCCTCACCTCCTCACCCCTCCTCAAACCACCCCACCTCCCCTCACCCCTCCTCACCTCACTCCTCACCTCACCCCACCTCACCTCACCCCCTCCTCACCTCACCCCTCCTCACCTCACCCCACCTCACCCCACCTCCTCCACCCCACCTCACCTCACCCCTCCTCACATCTCAACCCCCAAACAACATAAGGGTTATCATTACTACACAAAATTGATGTATAAAATGTAATTAATCTGTGTCATAACAACATATATATAATTAACATAGCTTCCTCTTCACATGTTATTCATTATACTGTACAAATTAATTAATAAAAACGTGGATATTTAGGGTACTAAAATAGCGCTTCAGGGAGGAGGAGGGGGGAGTAACATAGTGTAGGAGACGTTAATATATATACCATAGTCTCCCTGGTCCGTTCTTTATGATGTAAATTATTGAATGAAAACGTAAATACTTTTTGTCCCAACTCTGTCTTATATAACACTGGTGTATATACTTATATATTATTCCCTCTTGTACGAATACACTAGTTGGCTAATTGAATAAGATTTTTGATAGTCTTCGAGTATATTTCAGCTTCTGTAATCATAATATTACATAGAACACAAGTTAAGCAGGTCAGTCAGTCCGTATCGATAGCTTAAGGACACACTACCCTTTTGTACATGCAGTAGTTAACTAATCTATGAATTCAGCATTAACAACAAGTAATTAATTAATAATATATATATATAAAACCTTAATTTGTTTGATATTAATTCAAATTGAGATATTGTAGGTCACACCACCCACCCCTTATCATCTTTGGTTGTGGCGGATCAGCGACAATCATGCGTTGTTGTTGTGTTACTCTATTGTTATCTACAACAGGGAGACAGTTTACGTATACTGTATAAATGACATAAATCTACAAACTCTGACTAAAAAATTAGATCTTTTCAAACATAATTATTAAAGTACAAAGAGGTCTAACAATCGAGTGAAAAAATAAGGTACAATTAAAACAGTAGTGATAACATGAAGCATGACCATGATAGGTTGGCTTCACACCACCTATTGTCATAATTCCCGTACATGTTGTTTATTACTCAACAACTATTCTAGGTAGTTCAGAGACTTAACACCGCTACAAGTCGGCCCTAACGTAACTAACAGACGAATTATAGATGGGTCAAGGGGTCGGAAACACTACGGGTGGAAAGTACATACTAAGGTTTCTGAAATGCTTTAGTGTGTGGTATAGAATCCAAGATAAAACAGATTTTCCGCTCACGATGACGGTGATGCCCAGGAGAGTAATCTTTACATGGTGTTGAGTTAGCTGGTGGAGAGTTTTTGTTTTAGCTGTGTTGGCGATGAGGCCAGAGGGTATTGTATAGCTTCGGCTGAGCACTGTGTCGTTGTTCAAGGACTGTTGTTGTTTGAGGAGAAATCTTCATCTTTGTCGGTCATAGAATTGAAGAAAAGAAATGTGTAAACTAAGATGATGACAGATATTGACGTTCATTATGATATTTATTTTATATTTGTACAATTTAGTCAATGTAATAACCAATGGATACAGTACATTATCTGTATCTGTTAAGCAATAGTTACCGTTTCTGTTAATCTGTATATCCGCATCTTATTTAAACAAAGACTGAAAGATGACTGTCAGTATATATAGTGAGGCGATATGAACCTCATCAGTCTAACCCAACAGTCCTAGAATAGTTTTGGTTACGGTTGGATACGTTCCGTTGCCTCTTGTCGCCTGTAATATTTATAGTCCCGTGGTCGTGTCCATGGTAATTTTTTAACAGTGACCATTTATGGATCGGAATCAACACGTAGGCTCGCCAAATATACATCACCCTAACTAAAAGTAATATGATCCATCATACTGAATGAGTTAAGACAAGCAAAACAAAACAAAATTAACATCATTTATTATACTGAGACAAGTTACGTTTAGTTAGTAGATAGAACTAATATACGGTATCATATGGGGAAAATATTCTGTCAACGTAGATTTGTTTCCTAATAGCTACTGTTGTGGTCTGGTCTGGTCTGGTCTGGTCTGGTCTGGTCTGGTCTGGTCTGGTCTGGTCTGGTCTTGAGTGATCTGGTCTGGTATGGGGTCTAGCCCACTGACCGTCGACCAACGAGAAATCCAATTTAAGTTTTGTGGGACGTGTGTTGTTGTCTGATTGTTTGTCTTTTGTTTTATGAAATTCACATCAAGTGTATTGTTGTTCCTCGTGAGACGCCGCTGATCACTCGAGTAACACCTCCTCTTTTCTTCTTTATTTTCTCTTTCTTCTCCTCCTCTTATCCTCTACTTTTTCCTCATTTCCTTCTTATTATTATTATATTTCTCTTCATCTTCCTATTTCTCTCCTTCGTCTCATCTTGTTTTTCGTCTTACTCGTTCACATAAACACACAAGACCTATGTATGTATGTATGTATGTATGTATGTATGTATGTATGGTGTAGATTGTTTTTCATACTTAAGGTTCAACAGGTCAACAGTTAAGGTCACCAAGTAAAGGTCAACTAAAAATGACCTTCCCAACACAGCAATTGACTGACTCAACCCATAATTGTCATAGAATACTTAACAAGTCTCATGTATCTGGGGAAATAACTAAGACATAAATATTTCCTGTGTTTTGACGTGAGGCTGACACAAGGTCACGCTCTCCGTCACTTACTGCGTCACTCACCGTCACTCTGCGTCTGACTCCGTGGAAACAGATGATTGGTTATGATGATGATGATGATGATGATGATGATGATGATGATGATTAAAACTATTAAATTTTACCATTCTTTATGTCTCATTTTAGGTGAGAAACACGCAGCTCTACACAACGGTCAAAACGATGGGGCTGAACAAGAAGTCACTGCCGCTGCCGCCTCCTCCTCCTCCGCTGGACATTCTTCTCACAACCCGTCAACTTTCCTCCTAATTGGCTACTGCTGTCTGCTGAAAATGCTGTCGCTCTTTCATCATCCAGCCTGTGAAACTTTAAACACTGACAGTTCATCGTGGTTATGAGTGTCAAAATGGAACTTGTGTACTGTGTGTCTTAAGTCAAATAGATTAGATTTTGTATATAGGTTTAGGTGATTATCGTGTGGGGGACGTACATAGATTACGTTCACAAAGAGAGAGAGAGAGAGAGAGAGTATGTGTCAAGTATGAGAACGTTCACAGGTCAGTAGTGAAGATCAATAAGGAAGGTACTGAACGTAATTAAGATAAAGGAATACAAAAATATTGAAATAAGGTGAACGTAATTAATGTAGAGCTCCAGTGATTACAAGAGACAGAATGTAATCGGTAAAGAGTCCCCACACACACCTGAGTTTCCACACCTGACTCGTCCATACCTGAGTCCCCTCCACACCTGTATGTTCTCGTGGTGGTGCACGGGTAAAAGCTCTCTTCACTACCTCTGGGACAATGACGTTGATACCAGAAATCTAACACAGGTTTATTGTTTATTTATACCATTCAGGTTCAAAGTTAACATGACACACACACACACACACACACACACACACACACACACACACACACACACACACACACACACACGAAAAACAGTATCTTATTGACTTCGAACTCCTGATATGACTCCTTGAGAAATGGGATGGGTTCGACTAACACACTGAACTACACCACTATAGACGAAGGCCTCAATAGCATCAGAATTACCTAGACTCCTCCATCAGTAGAGGTGTTCTCATGTACTCAGTTAAGGGGAAAATTAACCTGAGATATGAATCCTTGAGAATCCTTGGAATAGAGGAAAGAACGGAGCCAAGAATGTTAATATGTCAATACTGAGTTACAATGTTAAATGGACCCCAGTCATGATAGAGCACCTAACTAAACCTAACCTAACCTAACCCAACCCAACCTGAAAAATACAGGATTAAAAGGTCCAATTGCTTTAGGATCCTCTTGAGTTATGTCTGATTAGGATTGGAACCTATGAAGTCTGGGATCCATTGGACTAGCGATGACTCCTTTTACTGTGGTGTTTGCCTGGTAGTAACAGCACAAGTCACGCTGCTGCCCCATGTGGTGGTAGTGGTGTTATTGACTAGTACTTTACAGTGCAATAAAACAATACTTTACCAAATGCCACCGAAACCTTGTGGTTTGTTTACTTTACCTGGAGTTATCTGTTGTTAATTTGTCTCTTCTCTATATAAAATGATATAAAGATGAACAACAACAAAAAATGAGAGAATTATTATGTAATAGTACTGTGTGTAGCGACGAACCATCCAGATTAAGCAGACCTTCCAAGTTCCATATTATCTGTGTTGTTATTTATGTCGTTTTTATAAGTATTAATGTCGTATTTGTGTGTCTTAAAGTGTAATATTCTGAAGGATGATGACATTAATTTCCCCATGGGTTTGTTTTGGGTAACTGAGGTGTGGATAATATTCGATATGTACTCTAACTGAACGGTGAAAATAACGCATTATAAAGACTATTTTGTTTATAGGTTATGGAAACAGCGTCGTAGGTTATTATAGTCAACGTGGATAGAGAAAAACAAATTACTTTCTACTGTATCAAGATGAAGAGACTTGGTGAAGTGACGAGAGACCTCAACACAACTCATTTTTTATTCCTAAGTTATTCATCGAGGAAGAACACTTCAGGTACAGCGTTGTGTCCACCGTAGAGTAGTGTTAGAGTATGACGTCTCAGGGTGTAGTTTGTGCTGGGTGTAGACTTGTGGGTATATACGTGAAAAAAAGGTGATGGCAACATTTTGTTTTTCTAAGTATCTGTATCCTTGTTGCCAGACGGAGGTGGCGCGCTCCTAGATACGCACACACACACACACACACGCATGTTTACTGTAGGTACATATATACCGAAATACACACACACACACACGCGCGCACACAGCATCATTCAACTAATATTCTACGATAGACAGACAGCTTTTGAATCCCGGGTCGAGTAAATTATGAACAATGAATAACTCCTCTACACTCTCCCTCTACCCCCTACCCTCCCTCTCTTCCTCACACCCACTCTCCTCTACACTCTCCCTCTCCCCCTACACCCTCCCTCTGTCCCTCACATCCTCCTCCATCACACCCCCCCTCTCCCACACCAGCACTCACCCCCTACACCCTCCCTCTTTCCACACCCTCCTCCATCACACCCCCCCTCTCCCACCCCTCACCCTCCTCCATCCACCCCCCTCCTCTGCTTCCCCCACCCTCCTCCATCACACCCCCCCCCCTCTCCCACACCAGCACTCTCCCCCCACACCCTCCTTCCACTCATAAAAATACCAAGAATATTAATTTTACGTAGAAAAGAAACAGATAAGATAAATAAACGAATATGATTTGAGCTAAAAGAAAAAGAATTATTTTTACCGTGTCTTGGTTCCTGTTGATACGGTCCTACTAGATAGGTGTTGTCGACTACCGTCTTCCTCTCTGATATGTTACGTTGGGATTTTGGTTTGTTAATTTTTCATTTTTTCCTAATTTTTAACAAAGAGTGTATTATTATTTTCTGTTTTGTCATAATTGTATTTTGAATCACGTGACGATTAGTCCACTTACTTGCAAGGTAATCATTTTATCATATTGCAAGCTATGTTTTTACTTTCTCAGAACTTGTGATTAATCTTTCTTCTCTCAGTTATCACGCAGAAGTTATCAAAATACAAAAGAAGTGAATGTAATGCCTACGTGTATGTTAGAGTTGGTGTTATCTTCTGGAACGAGATAACCAACGAGAAGTTGTTGTGTGTGTCACCTCTACTAGTAAGCAAGTGGAATCATGGTATATTTTGACTATTGTACTGTCAATATTCTTATTGCCTACTACTACTACTATCACCACCACTGCTACTATTATTAACTACCGCTACAACCATTAACCACCACTACTCTTACTATTGCTGCTGCTGCTCTCTCTCTTCTCTCATATACTATACAGTATACCTCTCAGATATAAGACAGTGCATCAAGTTTATTCATACATTCAATACGTCCGTTCCATCATCCTGAATCACAGTCGGCAACAGACTCCGCGATATCATTGGGAGGAACACACACACACACACACACACACGCACACACACACACACACACACACACACACCTCGCGGGTCGTCGTTATAAGATTACTTAGAAGAAAAAAATGTGACAGTATGAGCTAGGAGTCTTGTTGGGAGTGATCATGTTACCCCACTATCTCTTATTGTTGCTGGGGACGACGCTGGTTGCCTCAGTGACGATAAAAGGTTCACCAAGACGCCCTTTACTCACGTCCATAGAAGACCTAATATCAGCCTCCTCGTTGATATTCATTGCCTACTGCAAGAACTTGAGGCCACAGGTTGAAGGTCACTCAGCCATTAGCGTGCACCCTATGCGGAGTCCATGCGCTAAGAGCGACTCCATACCGTCCATCATTGATTTGGAATTCTCGGCTGACGGCCAGAACGCGTTGGGGGAGGACGTATGGGAGTTTGCGTTTAAGGGGAGTACCCAATACATCTTCTTCCTGGAGGAGACGATGGAGAAGGATGTCTTCCGGCCCCTCGGAGCCCATGAGTCCAACAAAGATGAATACAATAAATTCTACCATGAGTTTCGTAGATATTTCGAAGGTAAGTGGCGTCCTTAGAGTTAATGATGTCCGTAGAGTTAATGATGTCCGTAGAGTTAATGCTTTACCTGTATAATCGATGATCAGTGACTTTAGTCAGTAACAATTAAGATTATTATTATTAGTAGTAGCAGTTGCAACAGTAGTAGTAGTAGTAGTAACATTATTAGTACTAGTTGTTGTAATAGTAGTAGTAGTAGCATTATCATTTCACCAGGATGTTGGAAGGCAAGCATTACCTTTAACAGTACAGCTACCTGGTACCGAGAACCACAAACTACCAACTACCAACTGGCTCCAGGAATGACCTTTAGTCTTAACTGCTCCACACGCCACCCTGACGCATTCTCCGACGACGCCTTCACCGGCTACCACCTGACGCTGTTCACCCCCGACGGTCACCGCATCAACAAGGTCAGTATGGGTCTAAGGTGGAGGTCCCCAATTAATGCTAGGGATCAGAAGGCTTCATTATTACTCGAGCTTGAAAGTGAAGTGATTAATATACTCTCGTTCTCAATCCAAGTAATTCTACACACTAGTTCAAGTCAAAGAAAAGTCATTTTTATGGTCCACGGGAAGCAATGAGGCAGTTTTCTCCGTTCATTTGTTTGTATGTCTCTCTCTCTGCATCACTACAACAGACCTAGGACATTCATATTTGCTGTAATATATTCGTCATCAATGCCAGACAAGTACAAATATATAGGTAATCTCTATACCATAACAATGTGGATGAAGCTATTTTGGTTTCTATATTCTTCGACGTAAACAATTAGCTCTTGTTTATTATCCCCTTGTTAATTATGTAGATGTCATAATAATCAAGTTATGTATGTCCAGGAGCCGGGAAGAAGCCTCGCCTGGACTGGGACTCTGGCATCACCTGAACGAAACGCTTCAACAACGACTCCGAGAGGAGAGTACCAGTGTGTGGTGGCCTGGCCTGGAGAACAGCTACATCTCGACGCCGTCAGCCTCAACATAAGTCTAATTGGTGAGTGATATAAATATATTTGTCTGGAATAAGTGAACGACTCACAGTAACCTCTAACAGGACGCTGGATCATCACCCAGCAAATATAATTCTTATAGTATATCTTTAAGGAAAAAGAAAACGAATGCAACAATGAAAATGAGAATTTTAAAGTAAACTTTAATATATGCCTCAATTATTTCAGGATTATTATTAGATTTTTTTAATGTGCTGTATTCCCTAAACAAATATGTTTTTCCTCTTATGATCGATTTATTTTATTTCGTTATTGTGTTATCAGTTGTCAGCGTTATGTCTTGTTACAGACTTAGAGAGGAGTCCAAGCCTGGTTTTACAGTCTCCGTTGAAAGTGACCCACAATGCCACGAACATTGACCCCGGTTCAGACAAGCCTCGTGTAGCGGAGTGGATCATGCACTATTGGTCTTACCCTGAGCCCTATTTTCTCTGGATTCATCCAAACGGTGAGTATAAAAGGACATTTTTTTCCAATATTCTCACTTATATTCCGAGTCTTTGTTTACACACGTGTGGCCAATCAGAGTTGATTATTTCGATATATTTTCCTACACCTAAATGGTCAATCATAAATGAGTATTATCCGTATTTTATTGGAAATTTTTAGGTTATAGAGAGTTAATGGTTTACTGTCTCGTGTGTCCCTCACTCACTCTTTCAGGTACGGTGTTGCTCAACGGGACTTGCTCTGAGATAACACAGGACCCCGAGCAGTGTCATGAGGGCGTTCTTACCCTCCAGAGGAAGTCACCCTTTTCCCTCGTAGACGGCGGCAACTACACCCTTATCCTCCAGGCTGAAGGACACTCCAACTGCAGTGAACATACTATCCTGGATGTCCTAGGTGAGGCGTAGGGAATATTAGGTCACTTAATACCCTATGGGAAGACCAGGACATGCTAGGACACGTGGGGCAAAGGACTTTTGTTTATGTGTCAAGAAGGATTAAGATCTGAGATGGACGCTGATTAAGTTACTTTCGTGTGGTGATGTTCATATTGGCGCTGATGTGTTGTCAAGTTTATTGGCTTATAAATCATGTACTGTATAGGAATTGTGTACGCCGTCTCTCTCTCTCTCTCTCTCTCTCTCTCTCTCTCTCTCCATCTGATTCTGTATTTACTAGAGGGATAATTCGCCATTAGATTTAGTTATGTTGACAAACACACTTGGTACACTTCAGAACTATCGTAGACAGTGCTCAGTATTACAAAACATTATCATCATCAGAAACTGTTATCCAGTTTACACCTACACATTCCTTGACACATTCATAGTCGCACAAAAGAAAGAGAAATATTCACTTAAACGAAACTCGCAAGTAATTTCACTCTTCATTAACTCCACTTCCCTCCCTGTAGGCGCCCCTGTCCACACCACCGTTGCCATAGAAACAACTACAAACTATGTGTTGATTGGTCAGGAAATCAACATCACCTGCCAGAGCTTGGGGAACCCCGTTCCTAAACTTGCCCTCTTTTCCTGCCTCAACTCCTCCGACTGCAGTTTCCCCGAGAAGGTAAGTTGTAGCTGCTAATTACTTCATTAAACACCTGATATTATTGTCCAGACTATTTGTTCATGTAGAATTGTATAATGTGTAAATGAGGATGTTTCCCCCATGTTCTCTGCAGGTTAATGAGTTGCAGCCCATGACCCAGGTGGAGGAGGAGGGTGAGATACAGGTGGAGGGAGCCCGTGTTGTCAGGAGGTGGAAGGTGAGGGCTGAGGTGTCCTCCACATACACCTGCCAGGCCGTCAACTCCCTGGGTAACGACACTTCCCCACAGGTGTTCCTACAAGTGACAGGTGAGTGGCACGGGGTTACAGCTGTTTTATATCCCACATTGGAGACAACAAGGAATGATAAACAGTTTCCACATCTAACGGACACCTCGCTATAATGGACTTTCCTCTCCATAATCCATAAAACAGAGGTTTCACTGTATCAAACAAGGGGTCGTCTGCATGTTTATATATATAAGACTAAACACGTGTCCCTGAATATTTAGATTATTGCTGTTAACTGTGACCTCTGTTGACCCCTATCAGCAATGGAGGCACCAACCTGGCTCTCTGACATCCCCCTGAACATTACTATTGACCTACACAAGAGGGAGACACTAAGCCTGAGGTGTTCTGCCTCTGGGATACCTGCACCTGTCTACCAGTGGAGTAAGGTGGGTGATGAGCTGCTGTTGTCCTCGTAGATAGATAGATAGGTAGATAGATAGATAGATAGATAGATAGATAGATAGATAGTAAAATTTTAATACACGTTCACCATGATTCAGTATGTATGTAGTCAATGCAGGTATGCAGTTCAACATGTATGAATATAAAGAAGCCACAATCTCAAGTTCAATTTCTACTCTTATTAGTTCATTTCCCCAACTTCTACAGGACGACGTGGTGTTGTCTGCTGCCGAGGACGATAACTTGGTGGTGGACGAGGTGACGGGGGTGCTGCTGGTGGAGAAGGCGATGAAGGAGGACTCAGGCCACTATCAATGTCTCGTAAGGAATCCTGCTGGGACGCTCCTTGCCTGGTATGAAGTGACTTACGTTCCTCCCACCCATCATTGTGAGTCACCATTGGTATAGTTGAACTTGATGCCATGTTAGCTTAGTGAAATGTGCTACACTGTATATCATATTAATGGTATATACACCTCAGTCACAAAAAATGACACTACGACTCTTGTTGTCTCTGAAAGGTTGTCATAATCCTTTGTCCGCTGTGTTGTATTGTCCGATACGAAAATGTAAAGATACTTATTTAATTGTGCATACATAAACAGACATAGAGAGTAAGACAGGCAATTAAAGGAGAGTCACAAAAATAGAATAGAGAAGTAGATTTAATTACCTGACTAACAAGATCACATCATCTCTCTTCTCTTCTCCTGCTGTACCTGGCCGCCTTGAACAGCGTCCCTCTGGGTAGCTCTGGGAGTGCTGGTGCCGCTTCTGTTCCTGGTTACCCTTACCTTTTTCACTCGATACTTCTTTCACCTGGTAAGTGCTGCATTTACCTCCCACACACGAGGCACCTGTAACACCTGTACTGCTTCATGTAACACCTATACTGTTTCATATAACACCTATGCTGCTTCATATAATACATGTGCTGCTTCATATAACACATGTACTACTTCATATAACACCTGTACTGCTTCATATAATACCTGTACTACTGCATATAACACCTGTACTACTTCATATAACACCTGTACTGCTTCATATAACACCTGCACTACTTCATATAACACCTGTGCTGCTTCATATAACACCTGTACTACTTCATATAACACCTGTACTACTTCATATAACACCTGTGCTGCTTCATATAACACCTGTACTACTTCATATAACACCTGTGCTGCTTCATATAACACCTGTACTACTTCATATAACACCTATACTGCTTCATGTAACACCTGTACAACTTCATATAACACCTGTACTACTTCATATAACACCTGTGCTGCTTCATATAACACCTGTACTACTTCATATAACACCTGTGCTGCTTCATATAACACCTGTACTACTTCATATAACACCTGTGCTGCTTCATATAACACCTGTACTACTTCATATAACACCTGTGCTGCTTCATATAACACCTGTACTACTTCATATAACACCTGTGCTGCTTCATATAACACCTGTACTACTTCATATAACACCTATACTGCTTCTTGTAACATATGCTCTTCTACCCCTTCAGCGTCGGTCCCGCCAGTTCACTCTGAGGGCCCGGAAGGCATGGGAGAAGGGTAACGTGGCATCCCTCAACAGTGACTTGTGTCTCCACCAGCAGGCAGACCTTCTCCCCTTCCGGTCCAAGTTTGAGTTCTCGAGGGACAACATCACCATCAGTAAGTGTTGATCAGATAATAATAATGATAATAATAAAACAACCTTATCGTCATCATCCCTCTAACAACACAACCTCTCGTAAACACAACAGACAAGCTGCTGGGATGTGGAGCGTTCGGGCGTGTTTACAGAGCCGTGGCAGAGAACCTTGGCCCTGAGAAGGTCCCCACCACCGTAGCCGTCAAGATGGTTAAATCACGTAAGGATAAGACTCAGCTTCACGCCCTTCAGTCTGAGTTGAAGATCTTGATGCATATTGGCCGTCACGTTAATATTGTGAATCTTGTGGCTGCCTGTACTAAGGATCTTCATGACAAAGGTAGTGTGTGTGTGTGTGTGTCTTAGAGTGGTACCGGGTTGAGAAGAAGAGGGAATAGGCGGAGAAAGAAGAGGATAGTGAGGGAACTAACCTAATCTAACCTAATATAAACCAACTCTAACTAAACACCTGCATAATTACCTGTATACTAGTATAATGATCTATACACCTGTATAATGACCTACACTATGATGAAATAAAAGAAAAAGAAAAAAAAGCGTGAATGTGAGGCGAGATATTGAACCGCACCTGGGTCCCTCCTGTAGGTGAGCTGATGATCCTGGTGGAGTACTGCTGCTACGGGAACATCCTCGACTACCTCAGGAGAAACCGCAACACCTTTGTTAATCAGTTGAATGACCTGGGAGACACCTTCCTACCTTGCCTGACTCACCGGACACCTGACGACTCCAGGTAGGTAGAGTACAGGTTAATTAATATGTCTCTAGCCTTGTCTGTCACTCCTTGTGTCCTGTCTGTCTGTCTGTCTCCTAGTGTCCTGTCTGTCTGTCTGTCTCCTAGTGTCCTGTCTGTCTCTCTCTGTCACTTTCCTGTCATATAGTTTTGTCTGTCTGTTTGTCGGTGATATCTATCAATCATATCAGTCTGTCTGTCTGTCTCTGTCTGTCTGTCTGCCCATAAGTCTGTCACTACCTTTCCTTTCCCTCAACAGAAACTCCAGTAACGGAATCGTGTATATCAGTGTAGATAGAGTAGCATTTCAGACTGCCACTGCCGCCGCTGCTACTACTGCCAACGCCGCCGATGCTACCGCCACAGGAGGCATTCACGGGGAGCACATGTCACAGCAGGTTAGGAGTTGATAGAGACGTGTAATAGCAAATGTGAAATAATTGGGAGAGTGAAATTGGGCAGGATGTAGGTGTTGTGTGTGTGTGTGTAATAATAATAATAATAATAATAATAATTAACGGTTTATTAAGAAAATATGGCAGTCCGAAGGCTGAAAATATACAATGAACAGAGGTGATAAGTTACATATAGTGAAATCGGGGAGTGGGTCACTTGATTGACAAAAGCTTTCGACACAGAAACATAAGAAACATAGAGTGTGTGTGTGTGTGTGTGTGTGTGTGTGTGTGTGTGTGTGTATATTTGTTGTTATTGTACGTAATGTTTCAATATATTTTTATTTCTTTGTTTTGGTACACAGCCGCTACTGACCCGCCAGATGTCAGCCAAGGTCATGACCCAGCGTTCAGAGGCCAATACTGACCTCTCTGATATGACCTGCCTCACCCTAAGTAAGTTTCTCTCTCTCTCTCTCTCTCTCTCTCTCTCTCTCTCTCTCTCTCTCTCTACTTACTGAAAGACCTTTATATTATAGTAGTGTACAGTATATTAAGGTAACATATATTTTATAACGAGTAAAACATTTTTATTGGTATAAAAATATTTTAAGATTTTTTTTATATCAGTAAAATTGAATTACCTGAAGATTTTCCACCCCCATCATATCACCACCACCACCATTCACCACCACTACCACCACCACCACCATCACCACCACATCATCACCACCACCACCATCACCACCACCATCACCTCTTCCAGTCAGTGATACTCATAACTTAGAGCGGCCGAGTATACCGTGTGAGACAGACGGCCGCGAGAGTCCATTGTGCTCCAGGGACCTCCTCTGCTGGGCCTTCCAGATAGCTCGTGGCATGGACTACCTCGCCTACAGGAAGGTACCCCCACGTGTAGCTTGTTATTCTCCTTCTTCTTTATCTTATTGTCACTTTATTGGATTTTTCTTTATTTTCGTTTTATGAATAGAAAAGTCGAACTATCACATGCATATTAGACACCCTGACGTATTTCATCTGTACCCTGTAGATATACCACCCTAACCTAACCTAACCTAACCTAACCTCAGTAAAAACCAATCTAACCTAACGAATCCCAACCAAAAACCTAACCTAACCTAACCAAGGATGATTATATCTTCATTTCCCTCTTGTCTGCACAGGTGTTACATGGGGATCTAGCGGCTAGGAATGTTCTCCTCACTCAGGGCAATGTGGTCAAGATCAGCGACTTCGGCCTGGCTAAGAACATTGACAAGTACAACAACTACAAGAAAAACAAGAACGTATGTGGTTGTGTGCTGTAGTGTAATTTGTTGTAGTAGTTGTTCTGTAGGTGTGTGTGTTTCAGTGTTGCGTGAAGTATAAGTGGTATTTCATATGTGTTGATATTACCTGCATTCGTGGTCTTACCTAATTTACCTGTAATTATTAGACTAAGGTACCATGAGTATAAGATGAGTAATGCCATATTATCTCTCTCTCTCACACACAGTCACCGCTACCAGTCAAGTGGATGTCGCTTGAGGCCTTGAAGGAAGGAATGTTCTCTACCCAGAGTGACGTGTGGGCTTACGGCGTCGTCCTTTGGGAGATATTCAGGTGGGTGACAGACAGACCGACAGACCGACAGACCGACATAAAAACATCAAGTTGGTGTAAGATACAGTATACAGTAGATGTGTGTGTGTGTTTGTGCGTGTGTGGTTGTTTACATATCTGTATGTAATTGTCTATGTGTTTTATATCTATGCTCTCTGTTGACTATCGATCCATTGTTTACACAGCCTGGGTTGTAATCCTTTCCCTACTGTAATGATGGATGAGACATTTATCAAGAGCCTAGAGGAGGGCTACAGAATGGATCAGCCTAAGTTCTCCACACATGCACTGTAAGTTCCTCCTATAAACCTCCTTAATACACAGTAAGAAAGTTTGTAATACTAATAACTAAAACTATAAAAAAGTATAATAATAATAACAATGATAAACTTTTTCTCATTTCTATTGTAGTTTTGAATCAGATATGAAACTCAATTCACCCAAGGATAAAATATGACCCTTAGTAATGTTTAGTAAATTAGTGTTTCTGAGTTAATTAAGGTGTTGGTGATGACAGGTACCAAGTGATGCTCGAATGCTGGGGAACTAACCCTGACGATAGGCCATCCTTCTCTCAGCTGGAACAGAAACTAAACCAGATGTTGACCCTGGGAGATTTACAGGTGAGATAAACTTAACAGGTGTGTGAATCGTCCCTGTCTGTCTGTCTCAGTACATACATACATACAGTACATACATACATAGGAAGGCAATGGCAGATAGAAATATAGATAAATAGATACATAACAGATGAGTAGAGAGAGAGAGAGAGAGAGAGAGAGAGAGAGAGAGAGTTTTTGCTGGTTATATAAAAAGGCTAAGTTGATACTGTGGAGTGGACATGTTGTAAGGGAGGAGGGACAGTGACAGATTCATCATAAAACGCAGTAATTTTTTTTATCAGGAAGACAAACAGACAGACATGGGTGGCTTATACTGTCAAGCTGTGTATTCATATCATCACCAACTGCTCACCATAGTGTTTATTTAATTTGTTCAATCACCTTCCCAGTACTTCGAGGAGCTACAGCGGAAGTGTATTGAAGAGGCCAAGGAGGGGGAGGGGGAAGAGGTCGTGTATCTCAACATGGTGTGTAGCCCCGAGTACAACAGCCTGGTTCAGAAGGTACAGCAAGACGATCACTGCCTCCAGAATGATCCCTCTACAGCCACTTCTTCAGGAACCAGTGACATACTTCCGGGGGCCAACAAGAGATCTCCAGGTGCTATCGAGACACTTGTAGAGACTAAGGAGAGAGATCCCTGGGCTAATAACGAACTTCTGGGTACAGAGTCTAATCTTCTCCCGCCTCTAAAACCACAAGTTATCACCTCTTCAAGTTCCACAGCCTCCACGATTCCTCCCACAAACATATTTTCAAATTCTGACACTGGCGTCTCGATAGACTTAGCAGGTGGGCTCTTGAGAGTCTCTGTCGCCAGCTCAGCCACTCCTGCCTCTTGCTTCACTTCCTCCACGGTATCCCCCAACAGCTGTTTGACTACAGTGTCTACCATTCCCTGTAGTATTTCTGACAACAGCATCGTGACTACTTCTTCCCTCAACCCAACACGACAGAGTTACAGCAGTTACCCTGGTGTCTCTGCCAACCGCTCTACACATACGTCTGGGAGTAGTTCTTCCAGCACGACCGTCAGAACAGTTTCCAGTTCCGGTACATCTTCCAGGACATTTTCCAGTACGACTTGGGATACATTGTCCAGTACGATATCCAATACAACTTCCAACACCATTTCCAGTGAGTCTTCCAGCCCAGCTCCCTTTAGCAGCCCCGCCAGAGAACTAGGCATCTCACACAATCCATGACTGTGGGGTACGTTACCCTTGCCACCAACCTGCTCCTGAACGATGGTACCCAGAACTTGAACTGTGACCAGTCTTTAGGTCACGTCCAGAGTTCATATTGTAAGTCGACAATTCCCAACAACAACAACAACAACAAGGTCATGAATGTTGGTCAGGAAGACGTCCATGAAGAATCTCTGAGCTATAATTACCTCAACATGACCGCCCCTGGTGGAGACTACTGTACTGACCAATCTGTTAACCTTAATTTCTAGCAGGTGTGAAAACCTCCTGTAGTAGTAGCAGTAGACAGTAATGTGGCGACCTGTAATGGTCAGTAGACTCTCCTCGCAAGCGAGCGGACCCTGGTTCGATCCCCGGGCAGGCTGAAACTATGGGCAAGTTTCTTTACGCCATTTTCCTCTGTTTACTGAGCAGTAATTGGGAACCCAGGGTAATGGTTAGCCAGTGCAGTTGGCGAGTTGTCCGGTCTTCTCGGACTATTCCTTGACACTGGGTCATGCAGCTCGTTAACTTAGGGTGTGGTTGTTGTGTTGACGACATCTTCTACACCTTAAACAAATTCACGCCTAGGTGGCCCTTGGGCCGGCCATCCTCGTTACATAAGAACATAAGAATGGAGGAAACTGCAGCGGGCCTATTGACCCATACTGGGCAGTCCCGTTTACACCCAACCCCTATTGCTCATATAAGCATCCAACCTATGTTTGAAGCTATTCAGCGAATTCGAGTTAATGATGATATTTGGTAACAAGAGAGGCGACCGTTATATTATAAAGACAGTAATGACTGGATCTATTTTCTGTAAAGTATTTTCTCACAGGAACAATTTAATTTCTTGTCCAGGGGTATTTTTTGAATGGAAAACATGTAGAAGCTAATTAATAAAAGGAGATAAAAGGTAGAGTTAGTTAATAAAAGTAGATGACTAACAGGTAGAGTTAATTAATAAAAGTAGATGACTAACAGGTGATGAAGGGAAATAGCGGCTGAATGGTTATGGAGAATGTGTCTGGTCGCCTGAGGAAGTCAGCAACAACTAAACAATTAGACGACAGTTGTTGTTATATTCTTGTATAAAAGCGAAGGTAAACAAGGTGTGTAAACAATATTGTGGAGTAATTTTGTAGACAGTTTCATACACTTTTTATCGAATCACCTTGAGTCTACCAAAATGTCAGTTTTTTCTGCTATGTTCTTAAGATGTCTGCGTATTTGTGACTCTGAATTTATTGACGATGAATTGAAACACATTCGTTCCATTGCACAGAAACTCGGGTACCCTTCTGTGTGTGTTGATCGTTGTTTTAAAAGGGCTAAAAAATCCTTTCATTCCTCTCAAATTCCTACACTTAAGAATATTTTGACTCTGCCCTATCGAAATGAATTTGTCCCGTTAGTTCGGTCCCTCAAGCTTCTAAATATTAATGTTGTTTTCAGGTATGACTCAACCATTACCAATATGTTAATAAGAAATAGCCCAAGTTTGAATGTAAATGGAAGTGTTTTTTGTATTCCATATAGCAGATGTAATTGTAATTATGTAGGACAAACAGGAAAAACACTGCAGCTCAGAATCAAGCAACATAAGTACAATATCAGAACAGCATCTGAAAGCAGTGCCTTGTTCGTTCATGTTAGGAATAATAATCACCCCATTGCTTGGGAAAAAGCTTAGAAGTATTTAAATCATCTTGTGTCACAGAAAGACTTCTGGTTGAAGCTAGTTTGATGAAGGAATTGAAATCAATAAACCTTAGTGATGGTCAGTTCAAAACTGATAATATGTTACATAAATTTATTTGTCAGTGGCCCAAGGTTAAAAATGCTTTGAAAACCTTTGACATAGTTGTATGATAGTTATTTTTTACCTGACCTGACTAGTCACGTCACCCCCCTTTTCTTAAGCTCCTCTACGTGTGTGTTGGTGTGGGGATTAGTGGATGACATCATTATGACCTGACCTCATGTTTTTAAGGTCACCCAGTATATCTAAGCCTCTGTCCATGTAATCCAGTTGCCTCTGAAGATGTCTTGAATAAAGACGAAAACTAAGGTGCTCAGTTGTTTCCCTTTTCCCGTGTGATCAAGATATATATATATATATATATATATATATATATATATATATATATATATATATATATATATATATATATATATATATATATATATATTGTTACACCCCGCCACCAATTGTCATGATCTACCTACCCAGCACTACGAACCACGCCATCTATTGTCCTGATCTACCTACCCAGCACCACGAGCAACGCCATCTAGGGACGAAACACGAGTATGACTGGTCTTAGTTACCACTCCGGGGTTTCCCTTCTCCATATCCTGGTTGTTGTGTCACCTCCTCAAAGTCTTCTTCGTCAGCTCCAGTTCGATGAGAGTTCAGTTCACTCTGGGAAGTGACCACAGGATCACCTATCCTGGAAACCTACCGCACAGTGACTACCTACCGTCTTCTACAATACTCAGCCATCTCAGCTCCGCACTTAGGTATTTGTAATCTTATATTGCCTCCCCGCCTCCACCTTGCTTCAAATTATTGTATGTTGTATAAATATGTATATACTGTTAATGTTTAGGTTAAGTATGGTTAAGGGTAAATTATAGAAAGCTGAATATTTTGTTCAGGAATTTATGGTACTTTATTATACTCAACAAAAACTCGCATCCTTTGTCTACCCTTTTATAGTCCGATTGTCTTTGTTTTGTTTTTTTGTTGCCTGTTGGGATCTGGGTAGACTTTTAACTATATTCTAAATCCCCAACTCGTAACAATATATATATATATATATATATATATATATATATATATATATATATATATATATATATATATATATATATATATATATATACTTCATTTTAGTCCATATAACACGCGGACTTTGAACATATAATCAATAATATATACATACAGTATATATATATAGTACAGGGAGGTACTACCGCCTGGGAAGATATTGGAAGCATAATGTGTTGTCTAATGGTAGACCCTGCTGCCATATGGCACCACGAAAATTGTGACCAAGTCCCAGGTTGCTGATCTGACTTTCTGCCTCATTTACACTTAATTGCAGGGTTTCAATTTTCTCTTACTTTGACAACACAATATACATACAGTATTTCTCACTCTTGATATTTTTTCTAAATTTATTTATGGCTCATTATTATTATTATTTATAGTTTTTATTAATTGTTATAATTGTTATTTATTTTTATTAATTTTATTATTATTATTGTTGTTTTATTATACTTTCGCCCCCAAGGCCTTGATGTGGGTCATTAAATATGACCTGTGCCTGAGTGGGTTAGTGACCGTAAAAAAAATATATAATAAAAAATATCAACATTACATATTTTAATTTATCCCAATTAGTGAGTATAAAAGAAAATGCAATTTAAAATTTTTAATATAAGTTGAAGCATAATTAAATACACGAATCTGAATAAACTAAAACTGCGTTGAAGAAACAATAATTTTTAAATAGTCGTCTATATACTACCAAACGTTCTTTATGGTGCCCCATCCTTCATAGGTCGCGAGTCAGTCGGAGGCCACCAAGAAAACAATAGGCCGTAAGGGGAGTTAACTTTCCTTCCTTTAAATTCCTTGGTTGAACCTCTCCTCTCCACCTTATATAAGCGGTTATGTAATGTAACATTACTCGACCGCCTATTAATGTACAATCTCATTCAAGATTCTTCGAACACTGCTGGAGACAGCTGGCAACTCAAGGCCATTTGTTTACTATAGTACGGAGTAAGTAATACTTACTACGTACTATAGTGTACTCACTAAGTACGCTATTTAGTCAGCCGACGGCGGCACAGGCGGGACAGCCCAGCAGGGTTGCGCCGTTACGTACCATAATTATGTTATGTCACCGTGTGTTTGTACCATAATTTGGTGTCTGTGTACCATGTACCATAATTTTGATCAGATAGGGACTCGATTGTATTTCCACGCCTGTGAGGAGAGAAATTGGTCCTGTAGGAATGTGGTGAGGTGACAACGGCAGGGCGTCAGGAGCCAGGGACGGGTTGGGTGAGGTGAGTCACCGAGGTGTTATGACGGTTTATATAAGCAGCAAGTTGCAGTGATGACTGTGCAGTGGATATTTCCCCTACAACTGCCGTTTGTCGCTGACTAGCCGACCCTTTTTCGAATTCCCCAGCCAACGCCTCGTGGTCTAAGGTCGGCCTCTAGCGCCGCCTAACAAAGCGGAGGTCAACTATCAAGCCACGCCAACCCCTGCTATATCAGACCTCACCTCGCCGTGACCTGCCCCTTCTTCTACCTACAGCCACGCAGCAAGCAACACCTCCTCTGAGCCAGGGCCGGATTCAGGAGTGGGCAAAGTGGGCAGCTGCCCAGGGGCCTCCTCATATCAGGGCTGGTCGACTTGAAACCACATGAATGACTCTAGTCATGTCACTTTTGTGTGTGTGTTGGGAATTTGTACACTATCAATAAATATACAGTTAATTAAAAATTTCTCCGTGGTCTAATTTCCTCAATATAACTGCATATGGCTTCAAAATTCTCCAAAGAAGTGTTCAAATTTCAAAAATTTCCCGGGGGGCTTACAGCGCCCCCCGGAACTCCCAGATGTTTAGGCTCGCTTCACTCGCCACCCCACCCTTTGGGTAGTTATAATGAGGGGGCCTCCACAAAGAGGCTGCCCATGGGCCTCCACAGGTCTAAATCCGGCACTGCTCTGAGCATCCTCACCAACCAGCTCTCTCTACTCCACGCTGCCACTTCCCAGCACCAAGCTGCATTGTACATCCAATACAATATGTATACAGAGAGCGCCTTGTGAGTTTCTTTTCTCCAACCCATAGTGAGTGTGAACCAACATCATGAAACCCCACAACTGTACCAGTACCTCTCTCTCTCTCTCTCTCTCTGTTTGAGTTAAACTTATGTTACCCTTATTTATTTATGAACACAGATTGGACGACGAGTGGACACAGAAGCAAAGGCAAATAAAGAATTTTAACAAGTATTCCCTTTATTTTAGCCTCTATAATCTATATATTCCTGCTTTTAATTTTGTTATTAGACTTATGTTAATATCAACTTATTTGTAATAATGTAGGGGTGTTTACTGTACTATAACATGTACAATAATTCTTATATGCAGGTACCATAATTTTGAGGAAAATACCATAATTTTGACATCGGTGTACAATAATTTGGGCTGGCCGGCAGCGCAACCTTACATGCTGCCCAACGCTACAGTGTACTACAGTAGGAAAGTAGTCCAAGACTCCGAGGGTCGAGGAGAGAGCGCTGCTGTCCTCTATTGATTCAAAGTGTAAGTATTTAGCTAATTTACTCTTTACGCTTTTTAAACTGCAGTCTGTTAGATATGTAGGTCATGTAGCGAGCGGTAAGTTTCTCCAGGTGTGAGTGAAGCTGTAAAATATTCAAATTCAAATGAGTACTGTATCTCAGTTCAGTGTGGCCAGGGTAGCTTCTTGTGTGTTGGAGTCAGCTCAGGCTCAGCTCCTCAGTAGTGTGGTGAGCGTGCATACAAAGAGCGGCGGCCTTCCTGTATTTGTTTTGTTTTTCATGATTACACGTTAATTATTTAGCAACTTCGTCAAAATATAAACTATATTATGTAAAAAAATTCTTCTTAATAAAACTTCTCTGTAAACTTAATATATATTTCTTGATATGTTTTATATAGGTTTGTGCACATCTGTGATGACTGCTGCATCTCCGTCAGATGGGTGCTGCTGGGTGCGTCCTCTGGGCTTGGAGGAAACCCTGATGGAGGCCTATCACTCCATCAACAACATGACCATCTCCCACGCCCTCTGGCTCTCCTCCACCACCCCTCTCACACACTCCACCTTCTCCAATTCACTCTGGGACCTCTATAGGTGAGTTATTATTGACCCTCACGCACTCTTATACAACACACTCTGAGCTCTATAGGCGAGTTATTATTGAATCTCACGCACTCTTATACAACACACTCTGGGCTCTATAGGCGAGTTATTATTGAGCCTCACGCACTCTTATACAACACACTCTGAGCTCTATAGGCGAGTTATTATTGAACCTCACGCACTCTTATACAACACACCCTGGGCTGAAGACATGTTAATCATCCCTATCGACGTAGCTATTATTGCTTGACCAGTAATTCACCTCTTGCCAGGTCATTACCCAACCTGCGTCACTGTGTGAGAACCCACCCGGAGACCAGCAGCCCCTGGTACCACAAGATGGACACCATTACCAGGGACCTGCTCGATCTACAGGAGGTGCGAGGTCAGAGGTTCTCGCAGGTGTACCAGCGAGTGATGCACACACAGTACCCGCTCCATCATGGCCCCCTCTGGTGCGTCAGATACCTCGACCTGCAACACAACATCGACGATTCCTACATGGACCCCAGTGACGACACCCCTCTAGAGTACTCCTCCCCCCACGCTGTTGAGGACGACGGTGAAGGTCATTCCCCGAAAAACAAACCCTCCAGTGACAGAGAAGACATTACAACTTCAGTAGGAGACGTCGATGACAGCATGATTGTGGGAGCTAAGACGAGCTGTGTTAAGGAGCTACACAGGTACATAGTCATCTTCGGCTTCTGCCACTTGATCACTGACGGAGTGTCCAACATGAGGATAACACACCATTTCCTTCACCTCCTCAACCAGGTACCTCACAACACGAACGCCTCTAGGCCTATTTCTATCTTATCTCTTATATCACAAGTTAAATGTTTCTCACACAGTATCACCATCTTACATAATGCAGTCTTGACCTTCATCCAGTGAAATAGTTAGTGCTTTTTATATAATTTTCTCGGGTATAAGTTACATGCAGTAGTAAATTAATCTCAAGTTTTTTATTTATCTACTTTTATTCCACAACTTGCAACAGCGTATTTCACCCAGAGGTTAACCACCCTAACATCATTTGTATCATCGACTCGTCCACCAGTTTTAAGAGAAGTTCACGTATGAGGGAGCAAATGGTGTATTATGTGGGTGAATAGTGTACTCGTGCAGCGACCTCCTGTAACTTACTATTAAACCCACAGGAGTTGATGGGCGTGGCTAGGAAGGTGGTGGAACTCGGGGTGTTCAAGTCTCCGGTGGCTGAGGAACAAGGATTAAACAGAAGGAAGAGTGACCCAGTGTTCGCTTCCTACGTCCCCAAGCTCTGCGACGCCCCTCTATACCTGTCCCTCTACCCTCCGGCTACTACTGGTAATAACAACAGTAGTACACACACACACACACACACTCTCTCTCTCTCTCTCTCTCTCAATGTAAATAATTAACTCCTCTTCCCTCGGCCAGACAGCACCAAGGCTAGGACAGAGACGTTGTTTTTGCCAGGCCTGACAGTGGGACAGACGCAGGCTCTCAGAAACAAGTGTCGGACTGAGGGTGTCAGCTTCCACGCCGCCTTCACCTCCGCCGCCGTCATCGCCATGGTACAGCTCCTCCACGACGCTCCCTGCCAGGTATGACCTACACACTACTACACGCACACGCACTACTACTACTACCACACACACACACACATATATATATACACTAGTACTACACACAAAGACACACACACTACTACTACTATTACTGACCCAATGATGGCTCATTCTCCACTGCAGGACTCCCGGGTGAAGGACCTGGACCGCATGTCGACACTGCATGATGTCAACTGCCGACGGTACTGGCCGCAGCCCCATCAAGACGTCCTCGGGGTTCACGCTGCCATCCTGCAGCTCTCTTTCCCGACGCCTGTGGTAACACTAGTCCGTTTGTTTACCTGTTTATCTGAACATTTAGTGAATGTACTCGTACCTGTCCTCCTCTTCCTTATTGTCACGCATAGTGAAGTTAATATATCCGTTCGTTTTCACCTCTTATGTATTATGGTGCGTGTGTGTGGTTGCAGGGGCCGATGGGTGATGGAGGGTTCTGGAGGTACGCCAAGCAGCTGCACACGCACCTGAAGGAGGCTCTAACGAGGCAGCTGGTTGTGCAACAATTGGTGTGTGACCCCAGCCTTCAGGTGAGTCCTTAATCTCACTGTCTTGAGTAACAGAAAGAAACTTGGAGTTGTTTTCTAATATCTTTTGATCCTTTAAGTAAATGCAAACAAATGTTATATTGCTCTGACAGAACGTCCATAACCTTCTTCCGCCCGACAAAAAGGTGATTATGTTAATGTGTGTGTGTGTATGTAGCCCGTACAAGAAAAGTACAGCACACTATCCATTGATTAGCTAATTTTATTCGCCTATTGCTTCCTCGTACACAACAGTGGCCCAGGAACACATAATACCGTGAGTCGTGACTATCGCTGTGTGAAAGTCGTTGCCTCCGTGTTTTTCCTGTGTCATTCAGTAGACTAAAACAACGAGACAGTGACGCTGGACTCACCTCTCTTCACACTACTTTCAGGCCCCAGAGGAAATTATCCGAGAGGGCCAAGACCGCAGCCTCACCTCTGCCTACTTCGGGATCACCAACTTGTGTGACCTGTCCTCTCTTATCTCGGGAACTGGTGACCCTGTTGACCTCACTTCTGCCCCTGGAGAGGTGACCCCTGCCCTGCTGACCCGCATCCACCACTCGACAACATGTCACTTCACAGGTGTGGTGTGCCAGCACTTGACCCACACCTTCCGCGGCAGACTCCTCTATAACCTCGACTTCTTCACCGATAAGATGCGTCGTGAGGAAGCCACAAAGTACGCCCATCTCACTCTTCACTTCCTCCTACGATCCATCTAGTCTGACACACAAACCGAATAGTGTGACCCAGCTTGACCCAGAGGCGCAAATTGTGAATCAATTTGAGAGTATGTTATGGAGCATTTATAAATCCAAGGTGGATTTTGATCCAGTGTAGAGCCAAATGTTAATGAATAAAACAATTTCCCCCCAGTCGGATAGACATTGATAATGGAGAATATTTTTTAGGTTTTAACATTACTTTGGTCCCATGAAAATTGGTCATATAAAAAAGCTGGTTGTCATTTTACCTGTATTTTTTATGAGGTAACTTTGTCATTTATTTTAGTAATGTATGATTCTGTACCGACATGGCTAATGACGTTGTGGGGTTCAGGATATTTGGTTCACACTCAGGATGGGTTGGAGAAAGGAAACTCACAATGTGCTCTCTATATACATGTTGTATTGGATGTACAATGCAGCTTGGTGCTGGGAAGGCAGCATGGTTACAAGCGTGATGTAGAGAGAGCTGGTTGGTGAGGACGCTCAGAGAAGGACAGCTTGTGGGTCGCCATGCTCGCCAGGCAGGCGGAGGAGGAGGGAGGGCCGCCAGGCAGCGGCGGAGGAGGTGTTGCTGGCTGGTTGGTGTGGGTAGAAAGAGCGAGATCACCACGAGGTCAGGTCTTAAATAGCGGGGGTTGGCGTGGCTTAATAGTTGACCCCCGCTCCGTGATGTATGGCGGCGCTGGTTGACCCAGACCACGAGGCATACACTGGGGAATTGGTGGGGTCTGCTACTCAGCGACAAACAGCGTTTGTAGGGGAGAAATCCACTACAATACTCCCCCTTCCCTCCAGGCGGTGTAGGAGACTTGTTGTCTGCAGAGTTGCTTAGCACATGTGAGGCAGAACGGGCGGTGCATGCCTCATGTGAGACAACGGCGATGGCGTGGATGAGCCGGTCGCTGGGGACAACTGTCTAGATACACAATATCTGTGGGAGTAAAGAGGGAGAAAAAGGGTGTGTGGAGGCGATGAATGTTGTGCTTCCCTCACGGCAGGTACAGAGTCGTCAGATGCGCCTGCTGGGGTGTGTGGGCCTGGGTCAGGAGCAGGGGCTGCGTCAGCAGAAGCGGATGAGGGCTCGTGACAGCAGCTGGGTCCACGACAGCAGCAGGGTGCAGGACATTAGCAGGGAGTACCTGAGGGAGAAAAGAGGGGTGTGTGGGTCAGCACTCAGGAACAGAGGCCGCATCAGGGGCGGCAGGGGTTACTGCTGGGCCGGGGTCGGCGTCTGAGGCAGGACGGGTGTGCTGGGGTCGGAAGAGGAGCGACTGTCTGCTTAGAGTAGCAGAGCTGCTCTAGGGTGTCTGACCTGCGGTGTAGAGACAGTAGCTGTAGAGCCGATGAGAGCTGCTTCTGGGTGGATAAGCCAGTCTTCCATGTTGCTTGAAGACTGGGAGCGTGATCAGTTTCTCCTCCATCCTGTGTGAGTGCGAATCTCCGGGAGTCATCATTTGTGGGGTTCAAGATGTTTGGTTCACACTCAGGATGGAATGGAGAAAGGAAACTCACAATGTGCTCTCTATATACATGTTGTATTGGATGTACAATGCAGCTTGGTGCTGGGAAGGCAGCATGGTTACAAGCGTGATGTAGAGAGAGCTGGTTGGTGAGGACGCTCAGAGGAGGACAGCTTGTGGGTCGCCATGCTCGCCAGGCAGGCGGAGGAGGAGGGAGGGCCGCCAGGCAGCGGCGGAGGAGGTGTTGCTGGCTGGTTGGTGTGGGTAGAAAGAGCGAGATCACCACGAGGTCAGGTCTTAAATAGCGGGGGTTGGCGTGGCTTAGTAGTTGACCCCCGCTCCGTGATGTATGGCGGCGCTGGTTGACCCAGACCACGAGGCATACACTGTGGAATTGGTGGGGTCGGCTACTCAGCGACAAACAGCGTTTGTAGGGGAGAAATCTACTTCAACGTCATACATTACTCTATACATGAGAGGTAATTATATGAACGGTGTGTTTTTATAACAAATTTTACGCTAAGACTACACTACGTTTTTAATGTTTTATTTCATTTTAATGAATCGAACAACAGCAACTAAAATAATGGAAGTGGAGTTGATCTATATATTATTGTAAGATTAAATCATGTACTTTCTATAACACCACAATAAACTTGAATATAAAGAATTGTATTATTTTACTTTACGTTTATTGTTATAGGTTATGTAGAGATCAAATTATTTTAAAAACTTGGATTATAATTAAGTTACCCATATAAAATAAACATTTTCTTTTATTCTAACCATTTCCGTTTTCTACTACACAGAGACTCCTCCATAATCCCTAATAACAAAAACATACATTACTACCTTTCTTTACAAAACCTAACTCATATTTAACATTATCACATATCTCAGTTTATCTCATAAATTCACATGACTATCAATAATAATCTCAACCGCAGGAACGGGGAAAATTATAAGAAAAAAGTTAATGAATCATCTCAGTTTATATTAATTAACTAACATCATTAAACTCATCATATACCAGTACATTATCTCATTTATTAACTAGTGTATAATATCTCAGCCAGTTATAATCATATTTATCTAGACACTTCTTTAGATTTATTAGCTAAGCTCCGGCCATGAATTAAACTACACAAACTACACAATAATTCTTTTGGTGTTATTAAAGGACCTTGTTTAGATTTATATTATATTTTCTTGTATATACACATTAAAGACTGTGAGGAGGAAGCTTCATTAATTTAAAGCTTTAGTGATGCCTCTTAGTGGTGCCTCCCGGGTCTCTCTCCACCACAGCAGAGAGCAATGGTGCCAGGTGAGAACAAATATATATACCACATTTACCATCTTTAGCTGTAAATCTCAAGAAAGTTTATAATTTATAACTATACTGTAAATAATTATACTGTAAATAATTCTAAAAAATGACGCCATATCATTTAAAGTTATTAATGGTGTCGAGGTATTATAGTTAATATACCTGGACACCATCAATATAAACCAGTAAAGATAAAGAACTTAGGTTATATATAAGAGTTATATTACCAATTAGGATAAAAATAAGTAGATAAATAAGATAAATTTTAAACATTGCGCCATAATAAATAAATGAGAACCAAGTTTTAAGTTTTAAGCTGCAGCAGTTGTCAACATGTCTGAGGGTCTCCTGTTAACAACCTCTTAATACTCTAATGACCTACTAGTTGACAGTGATAGGACTCCATCATTAATAGTGAGGGTTAATAATGGAAAGTTTAACGTTTACAGACAATGAAACGAAATATTATGGCGATTTATTTACACATTTGGATAGTGAAGGATCTGGGATTATTCCTGTTAATCAAGTCCATGAGTTCCTGAGGGCCTCTAAACTATCTACAGAAGTATTAACTCAGGTAAGTGTATATACTAATGAGTTAAAGAATACCTGGTCTTATCCTCAAGTCTCTGAAATAAGGAGAATGTTCCTTCCTCGGGTCAAGGTCTGGCATTTACATGGTCTTTAAATCTCTAAAGTAACTAAACATTGTTACTTTAAATATTAGAGTAATTTTATGTTAATTATGTAGTTAAACTGAACAAGGAGCCATGTGGAGTGAATTTTTTTTTCTCCTTTAAAAACTGTAGAAGTAAACTTGATAATTGATGACTGTTCTGTTCCTTATCCTTAGCATTAACTTGAAATATATATAGATGATAAAAACTTTCTAACCATGAAAAAATGATATAAAGTACACCCAAAATATATTGTGCTTAATATATATCACTACTGTACCTTACCTACCTAACTTAACCTACAACCTACCCTACGTAACCTAACCTAACCAACACACTTAACCGGACCTATCCTACGTAACCTAACCTATATTACTGTAATTATTATGTATGTATTGTAATCATCTAATATAACATGATAAAACCTTTCTAAAATTTCTGAGAGACAAGAACATGGTGGATGCGGTGACCTCATCTGCATCACCCCGACAGATGTTAATAATCATAAAAGTAAAAATAGGCTAAACATGTTCTTCGAGCGCCTTTTTTGCCATTTTCTCGAGGTAAGATAGCTTTTATCATCTATTGAGAAATTACCTCAAGTTAGTGCTAAGTGTGAGGGATTGTCGTCAAGTAATACTGAAAAATTATTTGTTTCCTCAAGATGTTCCGTGGGTAGCCAACCTGGAAGTGTTCCTGTTTATGGAAAGGACGGTGGGAAACGTTCATTTGTATCGCTAAACTAATATTATGAAAATTGAAATCCTTTAAAGTATTGATATTTAGTCAGTTTAACCAAGGATAGGCGACAAAGCCATCAGATGCTTATGTATGAACTAGAAGTGTTAATGTCTCTGTATGTAATATTACTGCTAACGTAAACAGTTGAATCATAAACAGAGCTTCGTTGTTTTGCACCGAGCATTTTTATTTATGGAAAAACCAGGAGAAAACCCAAAATATGAGAAGTGCTATTCCTCCACCTCATTTGGTTTATACTTGAGGTAACTAAGAAATAAGTTTTCTTAGAGATACCATTCTCTTATGCCAATAACTTGGTTTCTTCACTTGACAATATTGGAACAGTTGGCAAGAAATAGCTGCTGGTATAGATGTCCCACTACTCCTGACACTACCAAAACAAAACTGTCTGAACAAGAAGTATATACTGTAGATATAGTTCTCATTAGAAGGACCAACTGTACACAAATTTGTGAGCCACACGTGTAAGTCCTCACATACAATGAAAAAACACCAAAAACTTTGTGTGATATACCAACTAGAAAAATAATTAATAAAGAAGTCAGAATTACATGTATCACAAATTTATAAAGGTACGACATGCTTTATCTTAATACATATTGATTATATATCAGTAGTACAATATACAGTACTGTACAGTATATTACATTTTACATATTGTTTGCCACCTTTCATTTGTTGATCTTTCCATTACACTTTATAGAAGAAAACTTTTTACTGTTATAAAATTGTCAAATCAAGTGGTGAAACTCCAGTCTTTGATTTCTATCTTTTCAGTAAAACTCGGTCTATCATGACCCACTTTGTGTTGGGGTCATAAGTGAGGTTAAAATACATTTGGTTATTCAAGTTGCAATTCAGTAACATAATAATAATAATAATAATAATAATAATTAACGGTTTATTGAAAGAGCTTGGCAACCAGAAGGCTGAAAATATACAGTTACATATTTGGGGAATGGGTTACGAATTACAAATAATATACAAGTAACATGAGTGACACAAATAAGATATATAATAATTAGATGGGGAAAAGCTCAAACTACAGTTCATTTCAACATAGTGACAGTGCAAGGAGTAGTGTTTACTGGGAGTGAATACACTGATTTATTACAAGTTATTGATAATTTTTACAATGGTTGGGACTGGGCTGTTCTTATAGCGATCAGTTCGTGCACGTATGAGCTGGATGCGGTTGTGGTGTCGAACAGCAATTCTCGGACTAGGGATCTCAGGTGGTAGTAGGAGCCGGTGTCGAGGATGGTGTAGAAGCTTCTTACCAAATTTGCAGATGAGGTCGTGGTGATGGTCAGTGAGAGTCGAAAGGGTCAGTGTGTTGAGCGCTTCTTGATATGTGGAGTAGGAAGGGGAGAGAATAATCTTGCATACTATAGATACTAGCAGTAGTCTGCTTCAGTGAGTATTTTCACACTTGCCAGTGGTCAGTACCATCATTGAGGTTTTGTGTTGCATTTCCCTTACAACTACATCACTACTGTACCTTCAACCACTGCCTACACATCTTTTTTACTTTTCAAAATCCTTCACAAAACTGATTTTGACATTAGCAGGAATGAACCACCAATTACTGCCAACATTCAGTTGTTTATTCTTTCTTGAATTTTACAGTTAAAAAACAGATAAGGTCACTTTACCACAGTGGTAAGGGTGTGTAGGTAATTAGGTTTTGGAGAAATATCCCCATAATCTGTATGCATAAGGTGGTTCCATAGTTGTGAAATTTTATTAAAGTACCGGTACACTTCAGTACTCTAAAAACATTTTGGAGTAACCATGACAGTAGAGTACAGTATACAGTGCATTAAAGTGGCACACTTGGAGTGAAACATTACTAAAATAAAGAATGAGTCAGTAATTTAGAAACCACTGTACTGTACCAACAGAATAGAGTTATTATTAAAACTTGACATTTGTTTTGTTGATTTTGTTCTCAGCTGGACAGATCTTGTATTAGAGGACCATCTACCTACTTGTTGGATAGGGAGCTTGTGGTACTCAGATATCTTCCACTTTATAATACAGGATATTTATCTTTTACTTTACCAGAAAAGTACCGTACCCGTTGACACGAACACTGTGTAGCCTGCCGGTAGTTGAGAGATATGACTTTCTTCTTTAATTTAGGTACAGAGTCTATGTTTAACTTACCTGCTTCCCCTATAGTTGACCATCAAAGGAGATTACACCCTTTGTAGTAAATGTTTTGTGTTGTGATTCAGGTGAGGGTGTTGTAGCAGTCACAGGTGGGATATTTAACTGCAAATGAGGCAACACTCATGCTGTGTTGTTGTCTGTGGTTGGGGCGTGACTGTGGACATGTGTACGGTTTACGCTTGCTATAAGGTTACGGCAAGGGATCACGTTTCAGGAAGATTGTGGGCAGCTAGCTATTCGGATTTTTGCTTTGTGTGGTGGTACCTGTAGTTGCTCCAAGTACTATACCATACTGTATTCCGGGGGTTCCCAAACCTGAGGTCGCGACCCCAAATGGGGTCGGGAGGCTCATTAGGTAGGGTCGCAAAGAGGTCATGGGGTCGCTGGGGTCCATTGGGTCTGCCAGTGAAATGATTTGGGGTCGCACTGGATAGTTGACAACACTGGATTGGGTCGTGCTAGAAAAAGCTTGGGAACCCCTGCTGTACTCAGTAGTTATGCAGTTTGTCTGAAATCAGATTTTGTACCTTTTTTAGATAACAATACAGCTGTGATATGGCTTTTTTTTATATAACTATCGCATACAGTACACTGTATTTATATTGTTGTTCTTTCTCTTCTATTAAAATAGGCTTAAAACTTTATGAACCATTGAAAAATTACCAGTGATATTTACAATGCTGTACAGTATACTGTACTGTACCATTTACTCTAGTAATTCAGAATTTATCAGAAACTTTTTTAAAATTTTTATTTCTATTGTTTATTATTTGGAAGTCGACTCAAGTATTATGTATATGATTACATTAAACAATAATGCCGCATGGGATGGATGCTAAGATGGAAATTCCATATTGTTCCTCACCATCTTCTATAAGATGCAGATTATCCCTGAAATTGAATAAGTATACAGTACCACCATGATTATGAGAGGAAACATTAGAGTTTAGATTGTAAGATCACTTACATGGGAAGACAGACAGAAGTTTTTGATTAATTTCTGGTAAACAGTTCTTTTGGGGGCTGATTGTGAGTCTGATATGTTCTTAGCTGCCAGCAGCATCAAAATAAGATTAACAGATAGTATTTAAATCGCAAACATTCCTTTTTCCTCCAGAAATTTTGAAAAGGGCTGACATATTTCAAAGATTCCTGGGGAAAACCATGCAGTGTTTGTGCTGAGGGACATGGATAGGGAACTTATCCCTCGTCAAAGCATTCCCCTTCTTTGTGGAAATTTTTTTTTCAGTTCCCCCTTACATCATTTTATAAATTGGAGAATCAGTACTGTAGACTGTTAAATTTCTATTTAACTTTACCTGTATTTTATTTGTCGAGGCACTTAACCAACTTATCTAATAGTACATACTAATGTTTAACCTCCTACAGACTTTATAGTACAGGTAGTTCTGCTATAACGCGATAATTGTGTTCTTGTAAAATATCGTGTTATAGAAAATCGCGTAATAGAAATAACAGGGCTTATGGAGAAAATAGGGTTAGGTGCAGATTACTCGAAATCGAAAAAATTTAGTAGTTAGCCTAACACAAAGGATAGCACAGTCTAAATAAATGTTACATTCATATCTAATAATGAAATCATACAGTAAATGTAACACTTTACTTGATGGGGGAGAAGGGTGATTTTGAGGTTGATAAAATCGAGCTTCTCTTCAAGTGTTATATCCTTTCTTTTACGATCATCACCGGGAATTCTATCACCAGAACGCTTCTTGTTGATATTCTTCTTTACTATATTCACAGTTAATACAGTGGGGTATGCTATAACGAACGGATCCTACTACGAATATTCCTATAACGAACGGTTTTACCTATAAAATTGAGAATGCTATAACGAACGAAACTCCTACAACGAACATTATTTAATTTTTTTTTTCTAATTTATTGTTTTTTTATTACAAATATTAATGATATTCTTTATTTCAGGGGTTTAGATGCATAT